AGCTCCGTGAGTCTGTAATCAGCAGCAGGGCTGGGATACTTCTCTCCTCTTCTCTAATTAAAGACTGTAGAGGCAGCAGATTCTGACTTCATCAACCAGATACCGCTCCTACCTGACTGAAATGACATGAGAAGCTGCAGGTCCAGTCGATGTTTTACCATCTGAGCCACAGGTGTCAGGTGAGTTCACCAGTTTCATTTTCAAGGTGACTTCAGCACTGATGAGAATAAATGGACTTTTTGTCAGAGGAGGGATGAGGTGTTTCTGTCATACTCCGACTCACCCCCTCCCCCTCATCACCACCTCTGAAAAGGTTTCCACTCTGGTAACCCATCAGAGATGGTACTTGGTCCAAAAAAAGCTGAACTTGTCAATTGGCCCAAAAAGCGACAGAGATGACTGTGGTGAGACTACCGCAAGAAATGTTCTGCCACGTTAGAAGAACCTGAGCATCAAAGGAAGTACAGAGCAGACGGGTATTTCCGGTTGATTTGAAATGAGTTAATACCATATTTCAGAATACAAATCAACAACCTTCAAATACACATACACATATTCTGTCCCCTGTTGTGACAGCTCAGTGCTGTAGACATGGCACTGGTGTGTTTCTCTCTCTGGAGCAGTGCTACTAAGAGGTCAACATTCTTTTTAGTTTCCATATTTATCTTTTAAAATAAAGTTAATAAAACGTTTTATTGTAGTTGACTGAATTAGTGCTGCATGGCTACTATATATGGCCTTAGAGCAGTGTCACCTCCTTCTCCTCCTCCTCCTACATCTTCTTCTGCTGCTGCCCTTCTGTTTGTCTCTATATGTGGCCCTGCGATTGGCTGAACTGGTGTCAAGGGTGTATCAAGCCCTCGCCTGTTAACACCAACCCTGTTAAGGAGTAAGCTGTAGATAATGGATGGATGAATACTTTCTCCACCTTCATCTTCATCAATCTTCAGTCGCCCTGAAGATCTCACAGCCTGTATTCATTCACCATGTTTAATAACGACCACATTTCCACTGCTAATAACACAGTGGCAGCGGCCATCTTGGCTCTGTGTGTCGTCTCATTACAGGCTTTCTGAGAAAGTGACAGCAGTGTGGTGGCGTGATGCTTCCAAACCTCCAACGCAGATCTGTAAGATCTGAGTTGGAGAAATTCAGCCTAGATTCAAAAAGATACTGGAGAAGACATGTGAGGAGGATGACCTTAAAATATATATA